ATATTTAAACATCAATTGGTAGCTGATTAGTATGCATGGACAATTTATTTTAAAATCTGCAATGTTTGAATGTCCTGTTTTAATTACTGAATAAGAAATGACATTATTACCACCAGCCAGCAGGCTATACAATTGCAGCATTACGACACCGTGTATAGATTTCGTGAAATGTTAGGCCCTGTGTTGCTCAGTTGGTAGAGCATGTCGTTTGCAACGGCAGGGTTGTGGGTTTGATTCCCACGGGGGGCCAGTATGAAAAAAAATATATATATATATGCACTCACTAACTGTAAGTAGCTCTGGATAAGAGCATCTGCTAAATGACTAAAATGAGAAAATGATGACCAAATAGAGGCCTACCAATAAACCTTTATCCATTAGCTAAAGCAAAGCTTTACATGCTCTTGCACCACAGGAACCCTATCATCGATTAATTAGTGTCTCTATTTCAGCACGATGTACAGCGATCGTCCCAAAGTCCAACGTTGTGGGGTCCAGAGAAACTGCATGAACTTTAGAAAATGAGTTACTAAAAGCAGAAGGCTTCCTACGACTGGAGTAAAAGTAATTTCCTCTAAATCTTAAATAAGTATGCCCCATTCTAAAAATACAGAACTAAGAACAGATATAGCCCCTGGTTCTCCTCAGACTTGACTGCACTTGACCAGCACAAAAACATCCTGTGGCGTACTGCATTTGCATCGAATAGCCCCCGCGATATGCAACTTTTCAGGGAAGTTAGGAACCAATTTACACAAGCAGTTAGGAAAGCAAAGGCAAGCTTTTCAAACAGAAATGTGCATCCTGTAGTGCTAACTCCAAAAGGTTTTGGGACACTGTAAAGTCCATGGAGAAAATGATGAGTACTCCTGAGTGGCGCAGTGGTCAGTGCTAACTGTGCCACTAGAGATCCTGGTTCGTATCCAGGCTCTGTCGCAGCCGGCTGCGACCGGGAGACTCATGGGCGGCGCACAATTGGCCCAACGTCGTCTAGGGTAGGGGAGGGAATGGCCGGCAGGGATGTAGCTCAGTTGATAGAGCATGGCGTTTGCAACGCCAGGGTTGTGGGTTCGATTCCCACGGGGGGCCAGTATAGAAAAAAAGAAATGTAATCACTAACTGTAAGTCGCTCTGGATAAGAGCGTCTGCTAAATGACTAAAATGTAAAAATGTAAATGTAATGGAGAATAAGAGCACTTCCTCCCAGCTGCCCACTGCACTCAGGCTAGGAAACACTATCACCACCGATAAATCTACAATTATCAAGAATTTCAACAAGCATTTTGCTATGGCTGGCCATGCTTTCCACCTGGCTACCACTACCCCGGCCACCAGCTCTGCACCCTCCGCTGCAACTTGCCCATGCCCCCCCCCCCCCCGCTTCTCCGTCAAACAATTTCAGACAGCTGATGTTCTGAAAGAGCTGCAAAATCTGGACCCCTACAAATCATCTGGGCTAGACAATCTGGACCCTTTCTTTCTAAAATTAGCCGCCGAAATTGTCGCAACCCCAATTACTAATCTGTTTAACCTCTCTTTCGTAACGTCTGAGATCCCCAGAGATTGGAAAGCTGCCCATCTTCAAAGGGGGTGACACTCTAGATCCAAACTGTTACAGACCTATATCCATCCTGCCCTGCCTTTCAAACGTTTTTGAAAGCCAAGTTAACAAACAGATCACCGACCATTTCAAATCCCACCGTACTTTCTCCGCTCTGCAATCCGGTTTCCGAGCTGGTCATGGGTGCACCTCAGCCACGCTCAAGTTCCTAAACGATATTATAACCGCGATCGATAAGACAGTACTGTGCAGCCGTCTTCATCGACATGGCCAAGGCTTTCGACTCTGTCAACCACCGCATTCTTATTGGCAGACTAAATAGCCTTGGTTTCTCAAATGACTGCCTCGCCTGGTTCACCAACTACTTCTCAGATAGAGTACAATGTGTCAAATCGGAGGGCCTGTTGTCTGGACCTATGGCAGTCTCTATGGGGTTGCCACAGGGTTCAATTCTTGGGCCGACTCTTTTCTCTGTGTATATCAATGATGTCGCTCTTGCTGCTGGTGACTCTCAGATCCACCTCTACGCAGACTACACCATTTTGTATACATCTGGCCCTTCATTGGACACTGTTAACAAACCTCCAAACGAGCTTCAATGCCATACAACACTCCTTCAGTAGCCTCCAACTGCTCTTAAACACTAGTAAAACTAAATGCATGCTCTTTACATTTTAGCAGACGCTCTTATCCAGAGCGACTTACAGGAGCATTTTAGGGTTAAGTGCCTTGCTTAAGGGCACATCGACAGATTTTTCACCTAGTCTGCCCAGGGATTAGAACCAGCGACCTTTCGGTTACTGGCACAACGCTTTTACCCACTAATCTACCTGCCACCCTCTTCAATTGAACGCTGCTGGCACCCGCCCAACCGACTAGAATCACTACTCTCGACGGGTCTGACCTAGAGTATGTGGACAACTACAAATACCTAGGTGTCTGGTTAGACTGTAAACTCTCCTTCCAGACTCACATTAAGCATCTCCAATCCAAAGTTAAATCTAGAATCGGCTTCCTATTTCGCAACAAAGCCTCCTTCACTCATGCTGCCAAACATGCCCTTGTAAAACTGACTATCCTACCGACCCTTGACTTCGGCCATGTCATTTACAAAATAGCCTCCAACACTCTTCTCAGCAAATTGGATGTAGTCTATCACAGTGCCATCCGTTTTTCACCAAAGCCCCATATACTACCCACCACTGTGACCTGTACACTCTTGTTGGCTGGTCCTCACTACATATTCGTCGCCAAACCCACTGGCTCCAGGCCATCTATAAATCACTGCTAGGCAAATCCCCGCCTTATCTTAGCTCATTGATCACCATAGCAACACCCACCCGTAGTATGCGCTCCACCAGGTATATCTCATGTCAAAGATATATTAGGAACAAAAGAGGTCAACACGACTTCTAAGATATACTAGTTATTTTAATTAATGCAAAAACCTTCAATGGTAAATATGATGTTTCGTATATACGGGCTCTCTGAGATGACTCGCAGGACACCCCAGACAACTAACACATTGTTTCAGATTCAATACTCAAATACTCTGACAGAGGGAATTTCCCACTTCTCTGCTGGCCAATTAGAGTAGAGGCTTGAGCGTGGTTTAAACTTTCTCAGCCAATCCGTTGGTTCAGGGGTTGGTCTCATCTCCTCGGCGCTCCATTTGTTGCACACTTCAGCCAGGCACAAGATTATCATAACAACCTATCATAGTGAGAAGAGCCAGCTCCCTTAGACATCATTCCTACGTCCAAGGAAGGTTCACAGATCACAAAGAACCAGTATAGTCTAGCATTTGGAGACACAATCCTTATCTCATTTTACCCCCTAAAACAGCTCTTCACATCAATCACAGCCTGCCAGGTGTCACAACCTACATTAGGCCAGTCAAGAATGCATTCTTTCTAAGTTAGTCATCCCATCAATTTAGGAGAATAATAAATCCCCAATAACTACATGAGTACGCTGTCTGTATATTTTTTAATGGCAGGTATACATGTGTTAGCTAGCGTTAGCAATAATAGATAGCTAGCTAGCTAACAAGTCGTTTGAACGTGTCTTGCACCTGTCTAGCAAGTGGTTTGTTTGTACCACCAGCTATTTAGTTAATGGGCCTTTATAGTAATTAACGTTTTCTGGCGTTTTATTTCATTTGAAGTGTTCAGTAACTTGTGATTTTTATTAACGGAATATATTGATTCTGGATCACAGCTAGCTGGCTTAGTTTTAGTTCTGGTCTAGTGTTATGCATCTTCCCATTCATTTCCCCCATAGAGTATTCTTCCCCCGATTCAGTTTAGTGACTGCCAGGCAGTGGTGTTGTAATGGGTATACGCCGTACCCCCACTTATTTTTATGTGGGCTTTGCGTATACTCACTTCTTAATCCCCACGATGTGTATCAAAGTAGTGGAGGTATACCCTATATCAATTAATATGGCTCATGGAACAGATCAGGGCACGGTTTCCCAAAAGCATCTTAAGGCTAAGTTAGAATGAATCTCAGCTAACTCAAGAAATCTGTAATTCATTTTGACGTTTTTGCCAAGGATGTTTTAGTTGTGCAATTTTACATCTAAGGTGTTTGGTGTAGTATTTCTCAAGTAAAAAAATGTGCAATGTGTTGTCTTATGTAAACAAAGTCAGCTGCTGGACAGGTCTGTCTCACTGTCTATGCTATTGGATAGAGAGAAATCACCGCAGCTGTTCACCCCATGTTAGTGGGCATCTGTACATTGTCAAATCAAAACCCAAA